CTTCCCTTCCTCCCGTTCCGTTCCCGCGATTCCGGAGCCGCCGCGATGACCCAGGCCGAGCTCCGGCTCTGCTCCCTCCTGCTGCGGGAGCATTTCGGGGAAATCGTGGAAAAAGTCGGGAATTCCCTGCTCCGGACGGGCCCGCGGCCGCTGCGGCTGCTGGTGGGGGACACGGGGCTGCTCCCGGATCAGGTACGGGCTGCGAGGGAGGAGGGAATTTTAACATTAAAATGATCGCATATTGTTTGAAATTAACAGGAAATTATTGGAAGGTAATATAAATTTTTAATTAATTTGAAATTAATATGGTTATATTCCCATTAAAAGGCACGAGGTTATTCCCATGAAAAAGGATGGGTTTATTCCCATTAAAAGGGGATGGATTATTCCCATTATTCCCATTAACAGGCACGGGGTAATTCCCATTTAAAAGGGATGGGGTAATTCCCATTTAAAAGGGATGGGTTTATTCTCATTATTCCCATTAAAAGGGACAGGTTTATTCCCTTTAAAAGGGACAGGATAATTCCCATTATTCCCATTAAAAGGCATGGGGTTATTCCCATTATCCCCATTAAAAGGGACAGGGTAATTCCCATTAAAAGGATGGGTTATTCCCATTGGGGTAATTCCCATTATTGCCTTTAAAAGGGACAGCGTAATTCCCATTAAGAGAGCTGGGGTAATTCCCATTATTCCCATTAAAAGGCATGGGGTTATTCCCATTATTCCCATTAAAAGGATGGGTTATTCCCATTGGGGTAATTCCCATTATTCCCATTAACAGGCACAGGGTAATTCCCACTAAAAGGAATGGGGTAATTCCTGTTATTCCTATTAAAAGGGATGGGGTAATTCCCGTTATCCCCATTAACAGGCACAGGGTAATTCCCACTAAAAGGAATGGGGTAATTCCCATTATTCCCATTAAGAGAGCTGGGGTTATTCCCATTATTCCCATTAACAGGCACAGGATAATTCCCACTAAAAGGAATGGGGTAATTCCTGTTATTCCCATTAAAAGGGANCACAACTGCAGATGCAAGGAACAAAATTCCTTCCAAGAATAAAAATTTTCCTGTTCCCATTCCCAGAATTTTATCCCAGAATGAAGGAAAAAAATCCCAAAAAAACCCCCCAAAAAAGATTCTCATGGATTATCCCTCTCCACATGCCAGGAACTGGGAGAATCCCAGATTTTTTATTGGAATATTTCCAATTTTCAGTGTGGATTTTGTGGAATCCCAGATTTTTAACTGGAATATTCCTCAATTTTCAGTGTGGATTTTATGGGAATTCCTCCCAAATCCAAATCTGAGTTTCAAATCAGATTTTTTTTTGGGTTGGATCAAATTTTACCATCACCACCAGCAGCAGGTGGGATGCTGCTGCATCCCTGGGAGCTTTGGAATATTTTTAATTTTGGAATATTTTTATTTTTGGGCTATTTTTGCTCTTGGAGTCCATCTGGAAAGTCTCAGCTTGCCACCCAGGAGCTGGAGAGAGATAAAAATGGAATTTTGGGAGAAATAACTCTGCAGGGAGGGAAAAGGGGACAGATGGTGGGTGGGATCCTGCAGATTGCCCGGATTTTCCCTGGGATATTTCCAGGGATTATTCCCTAAAACTGGGAGAATTCCATGGATATTCCCTGGGATAATTCTCTGGATTTTCCTTGGGATATTCCCAGGAACTGGGGTGATTCTCTGGATTTTCCTTGGGATATTTCCAGGGATCATTCCCAGAAACTGGGATAATTCTCTGCATTTTCCTCGGGATAATTCCCCGGATTTTCCTTGGGATATTNGTGGGGTTGGGTCTTTCCTTCTCTGCAAGGGCTGGAATTTGGGAAGAAAATCAGGAATTTCTGGGATATCAGGATCTCCTGAAATTCAGGAATTTCTGATAAATCAGGATCTCCCTGAAATTCAGGAATTTCTGGGATATCAGGATGGATCTCCCTGAAACTCAGGAATTTCTGGGATATCAGGATGGATCTCCCCGAAATTCAGGAATTTCTGGGATCCAAACTGATATCCAAGCAATATTTTGGATAAATGGATCCAGATGAAGAACGTGAAGAAAAGATCCGGACTGGAATTCTATTTGGTGACCTCATTTCTGGCTCAGGATTGAGTGGATTTCTTACAAATCTGGAGTTTAAAATGGAAATATTCTGGAAAATCTGGGAGCAGGAGAAACCTCCTCACTTGGCTGAGCATCTCCCAAAAAATCCCAGGATTTTCCCCTCAATCCTCCTTTTCCTCTCGTGCCCAAAATGTCAATTTTTAGGCTCCTAAAAATCCCCAAAATCCTGGAAATTCTCAGGAAAAAGGAGGAAAACTCACCTCTGAGAACTGAGAGGAGGGGCTGTCATCCAGGGAATTGCTGTCAAAAAAACTGGGAAAAAGAAGAAAATAAGGGCAGGGATTAATTCCTAAAATCCCTCCTGAGATTCCCAAATCCCCTCCTGTGTTTGCTGAGATATCCCCAAAAGAGGTGAAAAAAAAAAAGAGAAAAATAAGTAAAAAAAAATTTTTAAAATGGTTTATATTTTCAAAATATTAAAATACTTTAAAATATTTAAAAAGGTAAGAAAGAAAATCAAAAAAGGGAAGAAAAAAGTACCAAAAAAAGGGAAAAATAAAGGACAAAAATAGTAGAAAAATAGAAAATAGTAAAAAGGTGTTTTGGTTTCTTTAGCTAATTATGANTTTTTACACTCCAGATCAGTTATTGAACCATCACCACTCCTGGTTTTGATGGTGCCACCCAACAGAGCTCACTCACCCCTTTCCATGTTGGTTTTTCACACTCCAGATCAGAGTTTGTAGAGCAGATTGTGACACCCAGAAGAGCTCACTGACCCCATTCCCCATTGGTGTTTTTGCACTCTAGATCACTTTTCCAGCAGAGCTCACTCACCAATTCCATGCTGGTGTTTTTGCACTCTAGATCAGAGTTTGTAAAACAGATCTTGACACCCAGCAGAGCTCACTCAGCCCTTTCATTGTGGGTTTTTTTGCACTCTATATCAGAGCTCACTCACCCACCCCATGCTGGTTTTCCACACTCCACATCAGTTATTGAACCAGTTTTTGATGGTGCCACACCACAGATCTCCCTCACCCCTTTCCATGCTGGTTTTTTACACTCTATATCAGAGTTCACACACCCCATTCCATGCTGGTTTTTACACTCTGTATCACTTTCCTACAGATCCCACTCACCCATCCCATACTGGTTTTTCACACTCTATATCAGATCTCACCCACCCCATCCCATGCAGGTTTTTCCCACTCCAGATCAGAGCTCACTCACCCATTCCATGCTGTTTTCCACACTCTATATCAGATCTCACTCACCCATCCCATGCTGTTTATTTCCTCTATATCACTTTCCCAGCAGATCTCACTCACCCCTTTCATTGTTGGTTTTCCACACTCCACCTCAGAGCTCACTCACCCATCCCATGCTGTTTATTCCCACTCTATATCAGATCTCACTCACCCATCCCATGCTGGTTTTTTACACTCTAGATCAGAGCTCACTCACCCCTTTCATTGTTGGTTTTTTTGCACTCTATGTCAGAGCTCACTCACCCATCCCATGCTGGTTTTTTACACTCTATATCAGCTCACCCACCCCATTCCAAGCTGGTTTTTCCCACTCCAGATCAGAGCTCACTCACCCATCCCATGCTGTTTATTCCCACTCCAGACCCCTTTCCCCCAGACCCCACTCACCCATCCCATGCAGGTTTCCACCCCCCACATCCGTTACTGAGCCACTTTCTGAC